CCACGTCCGCAGGGAGCCCTCGCGTAGGGCGGATCGTCATGGCCGCAGCCGCCAAGCACCTGACGCCCATCACCCTGGAGCTGGGGGGCAAGAACCCCTGCTATGTGGACGACGACTGCGACCCCCAGACCGTGGCCAACCGCGTGGCCTGGTTCCGCTACTTCAACAGCGGCCAGACCTGCGTGGCCCCCGACTACGTCCTGTGCAGCCCCGAGACGCGGGAGCGGCTGCTGCCCGCCCTGCAGAGCGCCATCACCCGTTTCTATGGCGACGACCCCAAGAGCTCCCCCAACCTGGGCCGCATCATCAACCAGAAGCACTTCCTGCGGCTGCAGGGGCTGCTGCGCTGTGGCCGCGTGGCCATCGGAGGCCAGAGCGACGAGAGCGATCGCTACATCGGTGAGGCCCGGCTCCCGGCCAGGCGCCCCCCCCCCGCGGGGCCCCTTCACAAAAGGGCCCCGGCTGACCCCAGTGTGGGCCTCGGTGCCGCACCCCAGTCCAGAACACCCGCGCCCCAGACCCCTGTGCTTCTGAGCCACGACTCTTCCCATCCAAACCCGACCCCACAGCTCCGGCCCGCTGGGCTCCGACCCCAGCTCCAGGCGCCCAGACTGTGGCTCAAAACCCTGAGCCACCTCGTGCTGCCCCCTGAGGCCGGGACCCCAGCCCCTCCCATGCCGGCAGCCTGGGGTCAGGGGGGTCAGGCTGCTCCTCCCTGCCCCGGGGCACAGCGCCCACAGCCTGGAGGCCGAGCCGCCCCTGTTTCCACAGCGCCCACGGTGCTGGTGGACGTGCAGGACACGGAGCCCGTGATGCAGGAGGAAATCTTCGGGCCCATCCTGCCCCTGGTGACCGTGAGGAGCCTGGACGAGGCCATCGACTTCATCAACCAGCGGGAGAAGCCTCTGGCCCTGTATGCCTTCTCCAACAGCAGCCAGGTGCGCCTGCGCGGCGGGGCGGGGCGGGCGGGCGGGGCTCCTGCACTGTCAGCACGCCGCCTGAGGGTGGCAGCAGAGGACACAGGGCCCTCCGTCACTCCCAGGACTGCAGGTCCCTGCCCTCCCTCCCACCTGATGGACAGCTCCCCGGGGTCTTCTCCGCGTTCTTCCACTCTTGCTCACTCATCTGAGCCTGGCGGCCAGTGTCCCCTCCCCGTGCCTGTCTCTCAAGTCACGCAGCAGCGCTGGGAGATCCCAGAATAAAGCGCTGGGTCCCGGTTCCCACTCAGGCCCAAGGCATGGCCTGGGAGCCGAGGCGAGCCGTGGTGTCCCCAGCCGAGGACACCCCGCGGGTGTCCGTGGTGACTCTGACCCCGTATGCCTGGGAGCACACGGCAGCCCCAGGATACCCGGCCGAGGCCTGAGTCGGGGCGACACTTTGTGTGCGATGCCTGGCTGGCCATCCATCTGTCCTGACCAGGTCAGCCTCCATCTGCAAGAAGAGATTCTCTGGGCATTTCCCTGAGCCATGGAAAGATTCTCCTTTGTGTCATTGGGTGGGGAGGGACAGCACAGGCTGGCACCCGCAGCATGGCCCTCTGGTTGCAGTGGGATTCCTGCACTTTCCTGCAACGTCCTAACCCTTGTCCTGCCTCGGGGCCTGGGCGAGCCTTCCCTGGCTGACCCTCAGGGGTATCTCCCCACGGGCAAGGGCGGGGCTGCTCACCGCCGGTGCTGCCATGAGAACACCGCAGATACCGTGCCACGTGGCTCTCCCCCACCCTGCCCTCCCCTCCTCCCCCAGGTAGTGAACGAGGTGATGGAACGCACCAGCAGCGGCAGCTTCGGCGGCAACGAGGGCTTCATCTACCTGACGCTGCCCTCCCTGCCGCTAGGGGGCGTGGGTGAGTCCCTGCCCCCCCCCCCCCCCGCCCCCCTCTGCCTCCCACCCCAGGAAGTTTGGGTTTGGTACTTCAGACCTGCGACTGTCTACACTCACTGTTTAACCTTAACCCAGGCCCTGAGCCTTGCAGGGCCTCCGTTTCCCAATCTGGAAAGTGGTTCTCAGAAGGGCCTGGCTGTCTGAACTCCCTTCTGGCTGCGGGGCTGCCAGGGAGTGGGATGCCAGCCTCACACTCACCTCGCTGTGTCTGCGCAGGCAACAGCGGGATGGGCAGGTACCACGGCAAGTTCTCCTTCGACACCTTCTCCCACCAGCGCGCCTGCCTGCTGCGCAACCCCGGCCTGGAGAAGGTCAACGATATCCGCTACCCGCCCTATAGTCCCTGGAACCAGCAGCTGATCACCTGGGCCCTGGGCTCCCAGAGCTGCACCCTTCTGTGACGGCCCTGCAGCCCTCCTGTCTAGCCTGACTCCTTGGTCCTGCTGCTCACAGCTGCCCAGCCCCTCACCTGCCCTGGCTTGCCAAGTGCTTCTCATGTCCTCAACTGCCCTCTCAGAGCGGGAACCTGGTCCAGGATACAGAGATCTCACCTCTGGGGCCTCCAGGTGGGCAGGAACTTTGGGCGGCTGGTTAGTTCCTTTCCATATCAGACTCCCCTCTGCAGCCTCCTGGTTCTCTACTTAGCTAGGTCTGGTGCAGAGAACCCCCTTTCCTGAAGATGGACACATTCTCTGTTTAAAGAGGACTCCCTTTGTCAGATCTATAAATAGGATCTCCAAACAGAGTGGTTGCTAACAGCTCTATTCACACCTGGAGGATGGGTATGATTGTCTATCCTGAGTGACCTCCTGCTCTTGAACTCAGATCTGGCTAGCTGGTGGTATCTGCCTGAAGTGTGTCATCCACAAGGATTCTGGTGCTGTGTGTGGAGTCAGTAGGAGGGAGTGTACAATTGATTAGTCGCGTCTGCTATGAGTCCAGGCAGGAGTGTGGGTATAATTGATTAGTCATGTCTGCTATGAACCTAGGCAGGGGTAATTAATGAGGAGAACACATAAGGGAGCAAGAGAAGGAGAGGTCAGGTGGTGGGTGAACAGAGGTTTAGGTGTTTGGATGAGGGATGGAGAGAGGGATAAGACTTACAAGTGAGTAGCTGTCCTGGTGTTCTGACCCTAGCAGATTTGGGAGCAATCATGGGGTCCAAGTAGGGTCCGATGTCAGACTCAGCTGCAGATGCTGGGCCCAGTGTGGTCATTGGCCACAGTCCAGACTGGTGTGTAAGAAAAATGACAATGTGGAGTGACCCTCCTCTCACCACAGACCAGGCCCCCAGGCCCCCAGGCCCCCAGGAAGGAGTAGGCAGGGAGGGTCTGGCATGAGGGAAAGAGCCACTGGCTGTCGTGAGGCCGGCAGGGAGGCAGAAGGGTGAGAGAATCCCGGCTTGGTGTGTAAACGGACTCTAGAATGCCAAGCCTGGCAGTGGGGAGGGCCGCTGCATGGTGACCAGACCTCCTACCACAGTAGCCGTGACAAACACACAGCCTCCAGGGACCAGCGTCCACGCCCACCCCCCTCCCGCCTGCCCAGCACAGAGCCCAGGCCTTTGCGTGCCCAGTGAGCCCCTTGAAGGTACACGTGTGTCTTGCTCACATCACAGCACACTGGGGACAACAGTAGCCAGCCAGAGCAAGCATCGCCCAGCGCCTGGGACGTCTGGCCGTGAACCAGTGGAGCACATGGGTGGGCGATGCGGCAGAGTGGCCGCCGTCCCGCCGCCGCTTCCTTGCCAGGCAGGCTGTGAGAGCTGAGGAGCTGGGCTGAGCGCCTTCATATCCAGGCCTGGCCTGAGAATTAACAATGCTGCGAGGTGTGGAAGGCAGGACTTCAAAGGCTCCAGGTCAGGCCACCCCTAGCCACCACCATGGACTTCACTCCAACATACTCCCAGTGGACCCAACTCCCAGTGGACATCAGTGGCCGCGCCAGGACCTCTCCCTGCTCTGCCACCTGGCAGCTGCTCCTCCCTCCAGGGAACTCCCCCACCCCCCTCCCCGTGTCTGGGCCTGTTCTGTTCCCACATCTCCCAAATCTGGCCACTTCTCAGGGAAGGGAGGGCCACTGTCACCTGCCTGGTTCGCCCCCAGCCCTGGCCTCCGCCAGCCGCCAGCACGCCTGCCCCTTGAGGAACACAAACACACTGGGTGCTGCGGGCACTGGCCAGGCTGCCTGGCTACTCGGGAGGCTTGGAGTTCCAGGTTCAAAGCCAGCGTGGGGAGAGAAGTCCATAAAACTCATCTCCAATTAAACTCCAAAAGCCAGAAGAGGAGTGTGGCTTAAGGAGTAGAGCACCAGCTTTGGGTGAGAGGGTGAGCCCCTGAGTTCAAGCCCCAGTACCAGACAAAGAGACAAACAGAGAGACACATACATGCATACAGGCACACAGACAGACAGACACATGCATACAAGCACATACACAGAGACAGAGACAAACAGAAACACAGGAATGTAAACCTGCCCAGCCCCCCAGCCCCTCAGCAGCCTCAGGATTACATGGGAGACACGGGCCTGTCCCTGCTCGGCGGGCCCACCTCCCTCTCACCACGAGTGTCACGCGTGTTGGCATGAGCTGTTGGGAGGGAGTCAGGCGATTGACTGCACACACACACACACACACTCACACTCATACCTGGAAAGTGATCCCAAGAGTCACCTGCAAGTAGCTGGCAGGTCACCCGAGGAGTGGGCAGAGGCAGCTTGCGTCCCTCTAGAGATGTGGGCAGGGAGGATACCAACCTTTTTTGTTTTTGTCGGTCATGGAGGTTGAACTTGGCCTGGGTGCTGTCCCTCAATTCTTCAGTTCAAGGCAAGTGCTCTACCACTTGAGCCACAGCGCCACTTCTGGTTTTCTGGTGGCTTGTTGGAGTCTCATGGACTTTCTGCCCGGGCTGGCTTTGAACCGTGATCCTCAGATCATAGTCTCTGAGTAGCTAGGATTACAGGGGTGAGCTGCTGGTGCCCAGCCAGTCTGTGTGTGTGTGTGTGCGTGCGTGTGCACGCACGTACCAGTTATGGGGCTTGAGCTCAGGGCTTGGGCACTGTTCCTGAGTTTTTTGAGCCACAGCACCACTTCAGCTTTTTCTGTGTATGTGGTGCTGAGGAATCGAACCCGGTGTTCACACATGCTGGGCAAGCACTCTACCACAGAGCCACCTTCCCAGTGCTGAACAGCCATTTCTCTGAAGCTTCTCGAAGCTTGCTTGTCTGAAGCTGTTAAATGGGAACTCAATCAGAGGGATACAGAGAAGTCACACTTTAAGAGGCCAAATTGGGGAGTCTGTTAGGAAACTGAGTCATGAGGGTTAGGAAAGATCGAGTGGATGAAAGGAGAGCAAGGAGACAGAGACCTCAGCAGACCAGAGCAGGCTCAGTGAAGGCTGCAGACGGGCTCCAAGGAACACTGAGCAAGGTTGGAGAAACAGAGCGGGCGGAGGGAGGGGTTGGAGGTGTGTATGCACGTGAGGGTGAGACTCTTAGGAATCTCTTTGTCTTGTCCTGCTGGGAATTTATTGTCCAAACTGTCCTGTTTAGGACTTATGGTTAAAGTTGTTCCATTCGGGATTTTGTGGTAGGGGCCCTGGCACTGGTAGTACTGCACTTTCAGATAAGGTCAGAGGTGAAATTCTCCTGAAAACCAGGAGGGTCTCCCATGGTCAGTGGGCCATGGAAACAACAAGGATAAGTTTGTTTAAAGTAAAAAAAAGCTTTGGATAGGGAAGCTCGGACTGTCACCAGATGTAGGTGAGGGTTAATAAAGTTTCCCTTTAAAACTAGGGACTATTTACTTAGAGTCCTTGACTTTGATAGCAGAATAAGAATTTCTGATCAAGTTGTGATAGTAAGAAAACTTGGTGGAGCTTTATTGAATAAGTAAAACAAACAGGCCACCAGACCAACAGACAAGAAGCAGACAAACGCCGGGAGCAGGTGGCTCACACCTGTAATCCTAGCTACTCAGGAGGCTGAGATCTGAGGATCACAATTCAAAGCCAGCCCGGGCAGGAAAGTCTGTGAAACTCTTATCTCCAATAAACCACCAGAAAAACTGGAAGTGGCGCTGTAGTTCAAGTGGTAGAGCGCTAGCCTTGAGCTGAAGAGCTGAGGGACAGCGCTCAGGCCCAGAGTTCAAGCCCCACGACTGACCAAAAAAACCCCCCGACAAACAGAAAAGCAGGGGAACACTCAACAGGGGCAGAGAAAGAGGGGGAGAGAAAGAGAGAAACACACAGCTCTTTGGTGTTAGGGGTATTTATATGGTAAAGGCAGGGATCTGACCTCAAAGTCATACAAAGATAGGCGCTCCATGACTCCTGTGTTACTTTTCTGAGTTTCTGGATGTTTGGGGCACTGCCATAGAACAGATCCTTATCCTTGAGATGAGGAAGGTGCCCTGTTAATGTTGGCTAGGAGGTTGCTTAAATTTTGGGGAAGCAATTTTCTCAAGAAGGCATATACCCTGTCAGACAAGTGTTAATTCTTGGGGTAAGGAATGCGTCCCTCAGGAAGAAACCATCCTGTTGTCTCTTTGAAGCAAAGATGGCGCTCCTCTGTTTCTAATGATCGTGTTTCAGAGCTGCCCTCACCTGGCCACGATTCCCCACGTTATCCTGTCTCGTGACCACGTGCCATTGTGTTGGAGGAATGTGGGGTCAAAAGTGCCATATTTAGTTCAGTGCTTGAGACTATCCAAATGGTACTGAGACCAAATTTCCAAGCCGTTCTGATTGTCTAATCAATACTGAGGCCAAATTTTTATGCAAATGTGGAGGGGTCCCCAGGACCCAGCCTGCATCTCACTCTCCAGGACACAAGCCACAGGGCGGTCAGCTGGAATGACGGCTAAGCCCATGTCCTTACAAGCCAGACCCTTGGGTGACAGCGAGGAAAGGAGAGAGCCAAGAACTTGGATACATATTCAAGGCTGTCAGGATCCTCTCCTGAGTGGCTGGGAGTCACCCAAAACCAGTCAGTTAGAGGCATGGTCTCTGGGACCCTCTGGGACTCTCAAGAAGAGACGAACCCTTACCTTGCAATGCCCAGAGGGAGGGGGTGAATGTAGTTGATCCAGTGGCAAATTATTTGTGGTCTGGAGGCCATGGGGGGGGCAGGGGAGGGAGGGAGGGAGAGATTTCCAGTGGTCTTACAACTGAGTTTACCATTCAAGTCAATATAGGCCTAGGTCAAGACCCAGCCTCCCTTACGTGGTAGTGGGGTAGCAGGAGCCGAGGGCTCTGGGTCACACTCCAGCTGCTGTTCAGTCATAGAAAGTAGGCTTTCAGAAAGCCTCTGGGAAGGAAGGAAAAAGAAGGAGACCAAGGACAGAGAGAGAGAAAGAGAGAGATAGACAGACAGACATATAGTGCCTGTAGCTCAAGTGGTGAGT